TCTTGTTGCTCCTAACATCTTGTATAATATATATATTATGATAGAATAATAGTTTATAATTGTGATTGATCATAAGTTTTGACACAAAAATTATGCTGTAAGAAAATGTTGGTATAAATAATATTGAGTCTTTTGAGCGGTGATTTACTGGGGAGAGACCATACCAATAATGAATCTAACCCACATAAGAAATTGACACCACCTTCAACAAAAAACCTTAAGACATTGAGTTGTGAGTCTTTCTTTCTTATATGTTGCAACTTCCTTATTCTTACTTAATGTAAGACTTAGACTCACACTTAGGGGTGTCAAAGTTAGCCAATCTGACTCACATGGGTTGAGCTGAAAATAGGTGAGTTCAACCCAGCTTACTTTTTCGCGAGCCAGAAATTTTAGAACCCGACTCAACCCACCACGGGTTGGTGGGTTAGCTCACTAACCCATAATTTTTTAATTTTTTAAATGATATATATATATATAAGCATTGTAAAATATTAACACAATGACATGATATTTTTGGTTAATATTGCATTTTTTTCAAATGATGCGAGTAAGGTTGAAGTACCTATTTTTTACCCACCAATCACATATTCTTGCCCCACATGCTTGGCATTTTGTCTTTTCTTTACCATCTTTCACACCAATTTTTGAAAAATATTTCCAAACTTTAGATGTAGAAACGTTTGTTTTCTTCCTTTATTTCTTAACATCAATATCTTCATTATTAATTGAAATTGGCTCATTGGGTTTTTCATTAATAATAAAATCATCACCAATACAATTCACATTGATACTTTGATGTATTGTTTCAGATTTCATACTGTAAATTAATTTGAAAGAAAGAAGTCAAAAATTCATATATTAAAGAGATATACGTATAAATCAATAACAAATAACAAATAATGTATAGATGCTACAGTTTTCACATAAATATTCATTAATTCAATCGTTTAAGTTATGGTATAAATTCTTACCTTTGAAAGCGGTACAGTGGACACGATGATGTCGTGGTACGGTGGACAAATGATAAGATAAGTGACCCAAGTGTAGCGATAAACGTAGTGGTGCGACGAACAATTGATAACAAGTTTGAGTGAGGGTTCGGCCTGTGACGACAGTGACAATGTAGGGAAGAGGTGAGGCATAATAACATTAATTAGGGTTATTAAAGTATTATAATTATTTTTAAAATTTAAAATAAATGATTAATTAGGGTTAGTATATTATTATAATTATTTTTAAAAATTAAAATTAATGGTGAGTTGCGAGTCAATCCACCATAACCGGACTCGAACCCGTTTAACCTGTGGATTAAGTGAGTCAGGTTCATTTTTAGCCCATAATCAATAGAAATAAAAAAAATCGAACCTAACCCGTGGTGAGCCGGGTTGACTCACGGGTTAGAACCCATACTGACACCCTTACTCACATTTAGATTTCATAACAATTTTTCCCTTCAAGTGTGAGTCCCTTTATATTAGTACATCTCCTTGAGCTCACAATTAGTCATTTCTTGTACCGTTGTTCATCATAACAAGACACGCTTACCTGATCCATTGTCAGGAAGACTTTCAATATAATAAACCGTTTTAAACTATCGTCCACCACACAACCCATAACCCAATATGCCTTAATATTTTGAGTTGAAGGTGATGTCAATCCCTTATGTGAGTTTGAATCATATCTTATTAATATTGTCTCTCTCAATGAATTCTCCTTTCGAAAGACCCAACAAACGATACATACATGAGAAAAAAATTATCATTGATTTTTACAATCCCTTTATGTGTAGTATAAACATGACTACCATTAGGAAGATTTATAATTAAAGAATTGATAGATTTATGAGAAAAAAAATTGATAGAGAAGAAGATACATGATCAGTAGTCCCAAAATCAATAATCCAATGATTCATGTTTTGTGCTCAATTATTTATGTTAAAATTGATGATATAGTGACAATTACCTTTATTCTTACCATTGAGAGTAGCACTTTGTGAGACAAGTAAATTTGCAACGATCGAGTTGACTTGTGCATAATTAGACTCACCATTAGTATTAGTTTATTGTAAAAGCATTATAAGAGTTTGATACTGTTGTTGAGTTAATTTGACATCTTGAGTGTCTGATATGATATTATTGATATTGTTATTGTGCAACTTATGACTAAGTGGGTACCCAATAACAAATATCAATAATGTGACCATTGTTTTCACAATGGGTGCAAAATTTATTGTTTCAATTTTTGTTATCTTGATTGTTGGAAAATCCATGTTTAACATACACTCTTGGTGTGATCGACCTGTCTACAAAATTTGCAAGAAGTGGAGTTGTTAGATACAACAACATTGATTTTAAGATTCATTATTTTTCCTACTGAACAACATATGAGAATATTTTCAATAGAGAAGGTATATGATCCATGAGAAGAACATGAGACTTAACATTGTTGTATTATTCATTCAAACCTTTCAAGAATCGTATGACTTGATCTTCTCTTTTGCGTTGTTGTATGATTGAAAGAACAATATAAGAATATTTTGCTAAACACATACAAATATGATCAGGTCTAAAATTCTCAAGCTCATCCTGAATGATTCAGAGTTTTGTGAAGAACTTGGTAATGGAAAGATCACCTTGTGTTAATAGAAGGTGCTTCTAACTAGAGATTATAGATGCGAAAAAGATTATCTTGAAAATATCAAGATCTTAGATCATTTCATATCTCTTGAGCTTTGTCCATCCATAATATACTTTGATGTATGGTTAAGGAAACAAAATATACTATCTAGGAAACTACCAGGTTATTACCTCATCGCCAAGCTATGTAGAATGGGTAATCTTTTGTAGGTTCAGGTGCTAAATCATTTACAAATTCAATTTTGTTCTTTACACTTAATGTTATGAGCATATATATGCTCCAGAAGCGATAATTTCCTATATCAAGAACTGAAGTGACCAAACTTATTACAAGATTTTCATTTGAATACAAAAAGTTGTTTGTAGAAGATGATGAATCCGTGTTCATATGAGACAAAGAATTTGTACTTGTAGCAAGTGATGAATTTGTTAATTTTTCCATGATGTGTCAAGATGAAAACAAGAAAAAGAAGAATCCAAGAAAAGATAGTTAAAGTGTATAATTAAGCTCTTCAAATGAAGGCTCTGATACCATATAAAAAAAATGAATGTATATTGAGTTTTCTATTATCGAGTTTGTTTGTCGATGAAATGTCGAACATGAAGAGAATTTTTGATCATGTGTTGACTATTAGAGAAGTGAGTGTATAATGAGCGTTTAGGGTCATGTGTTAATGAGTATTGAACATGAAAGAAGTCACTAAAATTAAAGTATGTGTATTGATAGAAAATCGAGCTCAAAAATAAAATAGTATAAAAGTGGGTAGAAAGAGAGAAAAATGATAAATCTAAAGTAGATTTTCTTATATTCTCATAATCAATGAGTGTACAAATATTTATAAGAGAAAGAAGAGGAAAATTGGTAAATAGAGGAAATAGTTTTAAGGTTGACGTAATCAATGTAAATGAATAATTCCAAGAATTATTACAAAATTTATTAAAAAATAATAATTATATTGTCTAGAAACGAAAATGCTTGTGTGTCATGATAACATCATTATGATCAATTACCACATTTGATGTATTATTCACTTTAAAACTCTACTCTATCATGATTTTATTATTAAAAGATATATTGATGAGTTCATAGAAGAAGATGTATATAAATTCTTTTTTCATCAGCTCTTAATCTATATATAAGTCATATGAGACTTATGAACTATCGAGAACAAAAATAATAATAAAAAATAAATATTTATGTATTTAATTATTTAAGTAAAAGAAAAAATTATAATATTTTCTACCATTTTAGAATTTATTAAAAATTGATATTTGAAAAAAATTAGTGATTTTCAAATTTAACTCATAAAAATTTTAAAATTAATGTCAAAATGTAAAATTGTTTTTTTTTTTAAGATTTGGTTTTATATTCTGTAATCAGTTTAGTTTGAAAATAAAAAAGGGACACAAATTGAATTAGGTTATTTCCAATTATATATTTATCAAAATATAATTATATAATAATTTTTACATTTAATTCAAATATTTTTTAATAAAAAAATTCAACTAACAACAAACGCTGAGACCGTCAAATCAAAATTAGTGAATTGAGAATTACTTGTAAATGGATGGGTTCAACTTATTAATTTAATTTTGGATTAATAGGATTTTTATATTATTATTATTATTAATTTTTTTTAATGTCTAATTAATTATTATTTTAATATTTATTTAGTCTATTTTCTTTTATAATGAGTTAATGCAATTTTTTATTTATTAAATTTTTAATAAAAATTGTAATCTGTTAATGATGTAGTCTATTACTAATATATAGATATAAGAAAGTAAGTTACGTTTTATTTTTTCTTTAAATAACTTAAGTTGATTAAATGAATAACTAATTAAAAAAAGAAAAGAAAAGAAAAGAAAGTTATTTAATTTCTTTTTTCTCGTTAAAACGACGTAGTAACATACAAACAGCGAACAAGTCTACAGCAGTGCAATTTACAACAGTCAATCCCTAGTCTCTAAAGATCCCGCCGTCGAACCACCCAGCCACCTCCGTTCGCCGTCGGGCCACAGCAATCCGTCCACTGCAAGTCAGTGTGTTGTACTTATCCTGGAAACAAACACGTTAACAATCATTGCCCTTGACATTTTTTTTTTTTTTTTCGTTTTTGGTAATTCTTTTGAAAAATTACCGATTCTGTTTTGAAAATATTGATATTAATATTATCGTCGGGATTCAAAGAAATGAAATGAGGGTAAAATATGCGCAAAATTAACGAACATTTCCTTGTTATTTTCTGACATGTTCAAATTTAAAATTTTGGTGGATCCCTTTCTTTGCTTCAGTGTGAAGCAGCGGGGGCCAAAACCACATAGAAAGGAGGAAAGGGTCTGCATCAAATCTGAGGAAGAATGAGCGGTGGTCGACTTTGCACTTTGTTGGGAGAATTGGGGTACGAAGGGTGGGAAGCATTGGATCCTGATAGCTTCGAATGGCCGTTTCAGTATGAAGACACCCGCCCCCTTCTCCACTGGATCTGCTCCAATCTTCGTCCCTCCAATGTCCTCTCCCTCTCTGAACTTTCCCAGTTACTTCACTCTCTCTCTCTCCCACTCTCAATTACCCATTACTTATTTCATTATTAATCATAGATAATAATGGAATGTGACTGTTTTTTTCCTTGTTGCAGGTACGAGCAGTTCAAGGAAGAAGGGAAGCTGTTAGAGGTGATAAATTGTATTGTATTGTGTCTTCGTTATTGTTCGAATGTCTTAGTTATTGTTCGAATTGGAAATGAACTCAGTAAGTTAGTAATTTGTAAGTTATTGAATCTGAAATGAGTTGAATCGAGCAGGGTGAGGATTTGGACTTTGCTTACGACAGCATTTCGGCCTTCTCTGATAGGAGAGACAATCAGGAGGCGGTTTTTGGTGCTGAGGAGGGATTGAAAGATATCAAGTACTTTTACTGCTAACTGCTATTGATCTATATTATGCCCTTGTGTGGATAAAATTCATTAAATAGGAGAAGAAACGAAGAAGGTAAAATGAATTGAGTTCCACTTATGAGTTAAAATCAGTTATATGCATCTCAACCTTTGGAGACGTTAGACAAGGGAACTTTTTATCAAAGTTAAGTGCATAAGTTGATTTTAACTTATGGGAGAGGTACAATTCATTTTACTTTCCTGTTTTCTTCTCATGTAGGTGGTTGTGGAGAAGTTTATCCAAACACGATGTATGTTCAACGCAATGAATAGGGAACATTGCCTTATTATTTGTGTTTTTGGATTTAGGGAGGCGACTCTGGCATATAGAGAGGAGGCCTTGGCCTTGCAGAGGCAACTGAGTCATCTGCAATCTCAGTTTGACATGCTTTCAGGACAGGGTTCAGCATTGACACAAGGAAGACGGGTGCGCCTTGCTGCAACTTCTATTGTTAATGGACACCTTGCCAATATCGATGATAGCCTTTCTGTCAGAAATTTACAGGCAAGTCAATGCTTTCATGAGTAATGTGTTATTTCCATGCTCTCTGTTATCAATTATTTTGTTTCCCATGTAAGTAAGTTTGTTCAATGATTGATAATTTGTCTGAAGTCTGATCAAGTTCTTTGATAGTAGTGTACTTTTAGGAAACTGTAAATCCAATAATGTTTATTAGTGGATTATTTGTAGGCTTGAAAAATAAATGAGCCCCATTAATAATTTGAGTTTGTTTCATTATCCTTGTGGGAGATCTGTATTTCTTTTCACCTCAGTTATCAGTTCATGGTGGTTCATTTTCATTAAATTTCTTCATTGTTTAGATGAATGCCGTTCTTGAAAGAATTGCTTCCGCAGCGCATGAATTGGCACATTATCATTCAGGAGATGGTAATATTTCCTTTCCTTGTTTCTCTCGGATGTTACTTTCTTATTCTACTTATTTTTATAAAGTTAATTTTTGTTATAAAGTGCCAGTATGAAATTATTAACTGTATTTTATTAGAAGCTTTGTTGTTCATGAATTTTAATTTCCATGCTCTATGGTTCATGAATTTATTAGACGGAAGATATTCAAAATGGACAGTTTAATAGGAGATATAAACTTTGTTGAAGTCTCATCTTGCTGAAAATTTGGTTCTCAATGGAGCAAGGTGGTGTTATTTGATAAATGTGTCTATCCCAATCTAGTGAAATAATACGCGGTTGTTGTTGTTGTCGTATAGTATGCTGAAAGCTCATGGTGAGTTTTGATATTTCTTCTGATGAGTTTAGCTACTTTGAAATGCAGAAGATGGTATATATTTGGCATACTCAGACTTCAACCAATTCTTGCTTGGAGACTCATTATGTCTAAAAGAGCTAAATCAGTGGTTTGCTAAGCAACTGGACACAGTAAGTGGGCAAAACACTTGTTTTTTCTTTACTGTCTTCTTGGTCTATATTTTTTCTAGGATAAATTGTAATATTATTTTTCTATTAATTATAACAAATTGATAATTATAATTAGCTTAGAAGGATTAGTAGGTTCCCTTTAGAGGGTAAGCCGTAGTGCTATGGTAAAGGTTGCTGCCTTGTGAGGTGTGACATGTTGTGGTTGTTTTTTACTTCTTTTTTGTGCTGATTGTTCCTGATCCTGCATTCTGTGATATGGGTGTTGCTGCGGACTTAACTATATAGGTGTGAAAATAGTTATGCTAACTGTTATAACTTGTAAGAGCTTAGTGTTGTAGGTTCCTAGTCAGCATTTGTTGTAACCAGCTTCCTAAAGTCAGTTAGGTTGAGTTGTGAGTTAGTTAGATCTATAGTCTAGTCCGCAAAGCTTTCAGAGCAAGCTACTACTTCTGTATAAATACCAAAATGTACTTCAAACAAGTAATGCTGTAAAACATTTCAGTTTATACAAATTTTCTTCCCTGCTCATTCTCAGTACTGTATTACTTTCTTTGATGTACCTTATTTTTGGTATTTTCTGATAATTATGTTTTAATTTTTTTATTGATTTTTTATCTCTCAAATTCTTGATATCCATTTGTGACTTTTTTTTTTTTTAATTCAATAACAGGGTCCATTTCGACTTGTTGCTGAGGAGGGGAAATCTAAATGCTCTTGGGTGAATCTTGACGAGATCTCAAATACCTATGTTAGAGGTGTACATGGTGGTCCTTACAATTCACTTGTCTTTTTTCTCATTCTCTACTACTCAATACCGTAGAATTGTCTTCAGCCATCATGAGTCCCAAATTTTTATTGGATTGTTTCCTTATTGGCAGCAAACTTGTGCTTTTTAGTTTTTACCTAATTCTTATCAATATAAATATATTTTATTTTATATATGAATTAATTTTTTACTGATATAAAATCTAGTTAACATCAGGATTCATTTGAGTTTTAGTTACTTAATTTTGTCTTTATTGAAGTGGTAAAGGTGAAAACTTGAAAATTTTGGCATTCTTTTCCAACCGGATGAAGTGTAAAACTGTTATTGAAAGTTTATTCAAATTATACACACGTTAATTCTCTTAAAACCTATTTACTGAACAAACTAAGATGCATTTAGAGAATCTGGAATCTGGACCAAAGGAAGGCTGATAAAAAATCTGTCTGTAGTTAACTCTACAAATTAATATAACCATGCTATGGCTTACACACAGAATATACAACCTGTATGAACTTGAATATTGTTAGGTGGACCTGTTGAGCCTATGTGTTTCTTTTTTGTGGTTCAGCAGATTTGGAAAAATCACATCATCAACGTGTATCTGAGTTACGTCGGCTTCGCTCAATGTATGTGCTTTTTTCCATAAGATTGCAGATTACTTATTTAGGTACATCGTGGATGGATTTAATATGTACTAAGTTGTACTTCCAGAATTGTAGATATGGAAATTTATCTATCTATTTGTCTATTATGATATAGGGTGGTCATCTATTTTAGTCAGTATGATAAGCTCCTGTCTTTCATAGCAAACTCAAACTTGAATTCTACGCAGCATGGGCAGTGTGCTTGTGTAATCATGCCTATATTAGTACCATGTTAGACATAATCAGTTTGTAATTTTGTTTCTATTTGAGGTGGTTTAGTGGATAGCTTACATGAAAGCATGTTTATCCTGTGTGTAATCCTATTGTTGGCATCTGACCATATGTAATTTCATGTATACGGAACATTTTGTAATAGTTGCACTTTCTGATCAAATTAGATTGGATACCAGACTCATATTTCTATTATCTCATCAATCCTTTAGTGTTAATGGTCTGTCCAAACTTTGTCAGATTTGGCGTAAGTGAAAAACAATGGGTTGAAGCACAGGTCGAGAATGCCAAACAGCAGGCTATTTTAATGACTCTCAAATCACAAGTATCATCGGATGAAGCTCACATTCATCTTGATCTTCATTCTCTTAGGTATTAATAATGTTGATATAATCTCTATTTGCCTTTATGTTTCTTGGTTGTTGTACTTTTAAATTTTGACTTCACTATGTCCATTTTTCTCAAGACCACACGATGGGCTTTGTCATTGATTATTAATAGCCTTGATAACTCCATTTGCGCCTTAATGTAAAATTACGAAGAGTGCACACAAACAATCAATTGACAGAAGTATATTTCTGTCAGGTAATTTTTTTATTATAAGTAAATTACTCCAACCTCCCTTCTATTTTACCCTACTTACTTCAAAACCTCTATTTGCAAAACCTATTCTAAATTTATACCACACTTATTTTTTGAATAAAAGTGACAAAAACACCTGCATCACAGAGTTGTACAAAGGTTATACAGTTAGGGGCCTTTATCTGTCGCATACGAATAAAATTGAAGGGGTTTTGTATAATAATTGCATCATAGAAGGGAGCTTAGAATAATTTATTCTTGTACATCTCAAACTTATTTATTTTGTCTTCTAATCGTAGCATGGTAATAATAGTTAAGGCATTCTGAAGAAAATATTAACTTCAAATACTTTTGACCATAGAATGCTTCTTAAGTTACAGTTTTTTTTCATGTGACCTTGTCATGGCTGTGATGCACAGGAGAAAACATTCTGAATTGAAAGGAGAACTTTCAAATCTTTATAGCCATGAAGAAAAGCTGCTATCAGAGGTTTGTTTCTAGATAGGTTATATTCTAGCATTGCAGTATCTTATAGCTAATGCCATTATACCATTGATTTTTGCATTGAAAATGCTTGGACTTTTCTGTCTAAAGGATCGTATAATTAGCAAAGTAGCATTTAGTGATTTGAGTTGTATACTATGTGAACATTCAAGGCGTTGCAATTTACATTGTTCAATATTTTCAAAGTTCACTCTTTTTTTTTTTTTTTTGTCTGGTGTTTGGCAACTTTGTACCTTGTGTAGTCTAGTCTATCATTAAAGTTAATCTACTGATGCCCATTCTTCTATTAAGATCTAAAATAACTGCACTTTCAGAAAAGGGGGGCTTGTATACAAATAACTGCACTTAATTATTACTCCAGTTGAGTGTTACTGACTTTCTGCTGTATGTATTTTAAAACTCCAATGACCTACATTCTGTTTCGACAAAAGAGAAGGCAAACTTATGTGTTACAGTTGATATTTCGAGTGTAAAGCAAATAAGGCAATAATTTCAAATGGAAATAAGTGGGCCAATATTGTGACTTGTATGCAAAAAAACAAGTACAAGTCCAGTCTTTGAGACTTTGATGTCTTTCCAAAACCTACTCTGCCGTCTTCTCCATTCTCTCTCCTCTAACATATTTAATCCATCCCCAACAAACAGATTCTACGCACTAATCCTCTCTATCTGTATCTGCCTGCTACTTGGGCCTGATTTCTCCTTTTTTATGTTCATGGTATCAGGTAACTAACAACACCTTACATACAGAGAAATAAATGTTTCACTTTGTCAGTGAGCCATTTGACCTAAATATTTCAGTCATGGTTCTAGGAACAAAGAACGGTTATATGACTTCGACTTAGTTAAATTATGCAATTCATTATGGCATATCACCCAGATTCCAAGTTTTCATAAACTTAACAGAAAGAATTAAAAATGAACATTTGGGGAATGGGGCAATTAGAGAAATCAGAGCTCCGTTACCTAATGAATAAAATCTTCTCAGAATATGCCACCACCCTCCCAAGCCTCAATCTGGTTTCCTTCCCTTCTAATTTCCCTGACAAATCATCCAGCCTCTCTCTGCACAGGTGTCATGAATTATGCTTTGCTTCTTACTGGAATTTCCTCCTTTTGATCTGGTAGGTCAGTCCAAAATAATCGAACACCAATTTCAAAAATATAAGAACAGGATTAAATCATACCAGATTACAGAAATTACAGCAATCTTGCCGTCTTAGAGTTCAGAAACTCCTATAAAGGTTATCTATGTCCAGAAAACTAGCAAACACATGGCATAATTGTCCCTTAAGGCCCACATCAATACGAAAGTACATAATTATTCCCTACAGATGCTTTCAAAGGGCAGTTATTTTTATTATTTGTATTATTATTATTATTATTAAAACAAAGTCCTATAATAGAATTTCTAAATAATTGGTCTGTGTGTGGTCTAATGCCTTATCATTTTCTTCCCTTTTCAGACTATCTCAGATTTGTGCTGGGAGCTAGCTCAACTCCAAGATACATACATTTTACAAGGTTTTCTTTCTCAACTCTCAACTATTGGGAGGAAATTCAATTTTATTTTATTAATTTGATTTTTGTTTTTGATGGTTCCTTTTTTTTAATTTTGTATTGTCATATTTTTTATCGTTAAGGTGATTATGATTTGAAGGTCATGCGACAAGAGTACTACATTAACCGGCAGAAAGCAGTAAGTTTAGCCATCTATTTTTATTATCATGTTATTTATGAATATGTCCTAATGTGTTGGGACATGCTGGTCAGATTCTTGTGTGCAATCTCCAATTTTAGATTGGTTACCTAAGGTTCTGTTCTCAGTCATAGCTAACTTTTAATTTGGTTGCAGTTTCTTTTCACTTCTGATAGTGTATATGCTGTATAAGTTACACTGCAAATAATATAGACCTCTGAAAAGCATAGAGCTACTCTCAGTCAGTTTTGACAGCTGTTGAGTTAGTTGCAACAGCTTTCAGATAGTTGGAGCTAGGACTCTATCTCTGTATTCTATGAATCAAATAATAGTGAAACAGTTCAGATGACTCACTCAATTATATTTCTATCTCTAAATTCAATGAATTTTACATATTCTATCAGGCTGTTTGGATCTGTCTTAAGTTTCTGACAAAGGTTTGACAAAAATGTGCTACATTGATGGTTTTTTATTCAACGTGTGTGCTAGTTTTCCAAGTAATTTGCCATGATTGATTGAGTTGTTTTGGACCTTTTGTTGTGTTCACCTTCTGTTTGAGTTTGCTAGTTATAACTAGCTTAAGCTTGAGTGAGTGTTAAGATATTGGGTTATTGGTTGTTAGTATTTATTGAGATCCATATCAACTGTAGACACACCATAGTAGAGCTTATATAGGCTAGAGCAATTCTCTCCTGAGTTAGGCTCAACTAAATTTGAAGATGTATTAGATCACAAATCTAAATTTGGGTCACCCTCAATTTTCCAAAAATCTATTTGGCTTTTTGCATTCCCAGTGCAACATGAAAACTCAGTCCTATAATCTCCATGTTCTACATGTCCAATCTTGAGCACGTGAGAAGGTGTAACGAGATCCCATATTGCCAAATTAGAACCTCTAAAGGCTTGGGCAATCCTCATCTCATGAGCTAACATGTGTTGAGTTAAGCCCAGTTCAAGCGTCTTACTGTATATTACATATCACATTACAAATTTTCAATGAAAATTTTAGTTTCGTACGTCATTCTTTACCTTTCTATAACCCTAAGCCTATAGTTCTTTTAACATTCATTATATTAATAGAAACTTTCATATTCTCTTAGTGTATCTAGATAAATAATTTTAAGGATGAAATGTTTTTTTTTTTCTGAAAGAATTTAAAATGTTAAATGCTTTGTTTGGATGTTTGAAATATGAAATTTGAAATCCTGAATACATTTATCTTTTTTGTAACCTAAAATGACAATTTTTGTAATTATACTATCTAAGGTGAAATTAAAAATAGAGCAAAGTACACTAGTACCCGCTCCGTTTAGGTAATATTTCACCTCTGATTTTTGACCCTACAATACATCCTCTGAAATTCATGATGTGGTGACACTCCACCCCCGTTCTGTATGGGGATTGTTTTTGTTCACATAAAGTTGTCACCGGAGGTCCAACCATATTGAGTGAAATATTGCCTGTTTTGAAGAGTAGTTTTCTAATAAAGGAATATCTGGCGGTGAGATCCTGTTTAGGTGCTGAGGAAACAGATCAAACTAATAGAAAATCTCATTTTTTTCCATTCCTTGATGATCATTCTCTCTCTTTTGTACTTTTCACTGTCAGACTACCTTCCACCACCATTATCTATAATCGTCTGCATCCTTTTTCATATCAACTATGATGAGACTTCCATGCATTATTTTTGTTTAGTAGTAAAATGTTTGCTGAGAAATCTCAATATATAGTATCCTAAGTAGTTACGGATGAATAGACTGATGTCTAAAATTCAGTTATCCAAGTAATATTGCTACAATTCAATTTCTATGTACTTTACATTCTTTGGGAGCTTAGAAATTTCCATCCAAACACAACCATAAAGAATAGAAAAAACTTCAGTTAGTCAGTTAATTTTAATAATTATACTAACATTTGAGGATTGATTCTTTTTCCTTTAGCTAGCCATTGTCATGAATAAAGTGTAAAAGCATGTCACTGTTCTTCAAATAAGAAAATACTTTATGGATGTTGACGCCTTCTTTTATTCCAATATCTGCAATTCTTGTATGTGGCACTGTCAATTTACTTCATTGTGTTAAATGATCTAAAATTTGAATTTTTAAACACGTAACTCTTGTAACAAACCTCTCAATTCTTGTGGCAGTTCATAAACCATCTCATCAATCTGCTTGCTAGGCATCAGTTCTTAAAGATAGCCTGCCAATTGGAAAAGAAGCACATGCTTGGAGCATTTTCATTGCTCAAGGTTATTGAGTCTGAGCTGCAAGCATACTTGTCTGCAACTGAGGGACGGGTGGTATGTATCCTTAGAATTTCCTATTGCACTTTTTCTTTAATTTCGTGTGATTTTTTTTTTATTGCTTCACTTGTAGTAGTGGTATAGTTCTTATTTAAAATTTTTCATTTACCCGTTCCAATTTAACTTGTCTGATTTTCTTTCTCACTTGGGTACGCATGGAGTGCGTGGTTATCTATTAGACCCCCTTAACTTTCTTTTAGGTGGGGTGAGATGAAATGGGGGAGAGTTAGTTACGAAGAGAAAAGAAGTGCTGTTATATGGAAGCTAAAGATGGGGCCTTAGAGTGATCTCTGAGCTTGGGGAGTTTCTGTTTGTGTATTCGATTCTTTTTTTCATACATAGTATGGTGAAATAATACTAACATATAGAATTACACTACTTGAAATAGAAAAAAGAAAATAAAGAACTGATTTTGAGAGCCTACAATCATCTTCTTGTGTTCTCTTATTTATAGGAGATAAAAATACAGATTCAGAGATACAATTAATAGAGAGACATGATTAATCCTAGAGAAGATAAACAGATGCATTCTAGGAACTAGGTCTACAACTAATCTCATAAATGTCCAACAAGATACACTTAATCTAATAAATACTTCAACACTCCTCCTCAAGCTGGAGCATACAAATTGAATGTACCAAGCTTGGAACAAATGAATTCCATTCGAGGTCCTCTCAAAGATTTTGTTAATGCATCTGCAAGCTGCTCATTGGAACCAACAAACTCAGTACAAATTTCTTTAGTCAACAACTTCTCCCGAATAAAATGACAGTCAATCTCAATATGCTTAGTCCTCTCATGAAATACTGGGTTGGAAGCAATGTGAAGAGCAACTTGATTATCACAATACATCTTCATAGATTGAATCTCACAGAAGTTCAATTCTTGCAAGAATTGTTTTACCCAAACAAGTTCACAAGTAAGAGACGCCATTGCCCTATATTCAGCTTCAGCAGAGGATCGGGCAACAACGTTTTGCTTTTTGCTTTTCCATGAAATGATATTTCCTCCAATGAAAACACAATAGCCTGTAGTGGAACGCTTATCCATAGGAGATCCAGCCCAGTCAGCATCACAGTACCCAAAAATTTGGGTATTTCCCTTATCTTCATATAATAATCCTTGTCCTGGAGCTTTTTTAATGTATCTTAAGATTCGAATGATAGCATTCCAATGATCCACACAAGGAGCTTGCATAAATTGGTCGACAACACCAAGCTGCAAAAGACAAATCAGGTCTAGTAATCGTCAAATAAATAAGTTTCCCAACCGAGTCTTCTATATCTTTACGGGTCGAGAAAACTTCACCTCGTCCTGCCATTAACTTCAAATTTGGATCCATAGGATCTGTCCACGGGTTTGCAATCAATCATACCTGTCTCTTTTAAAATATCTAGAGCATACTTCCTTTGAGAGATGACAATACCTTCTCTTGATTGAGCTACTTCAATACCCAAGAAATATTTTAGATTTCCAAGATCCTTGGTCCGAAAATGACTACACAAATGCTCTTTTAGTCTGTGATATTTTAGCAGCATCATTCCTTGTGATGACAATATCATCAACGTACACAATTAAATAAACATGTTTGCCAGGGGCGAGTGTGACAATAAAACACTCGAATGATCTGCTTCGCTGCGTTTTAATCCAAAAGCTTGAACAATAGAGCTGAATTTTCCAAACCAAGCACGTGGAGATTGTTTTAGGCCATAGAGGGATCGACGTAATTTACAAACCAAACCGAGACTCCCCCGAGCAACAAATCCAGGAGGTTGCTCCATGTAAACTTCTTCTAAGTCACAGTGCAAAAAAGCATTTTTAATATCCAATTGATGAAGAGGCCAATGACGAATGGCGGCCATGGCAAGGAACAGTCGGACGAGTGATCATTTTGGCTACTTGGAGAAAAAGTATCACAATAATCAAGTCCATATATCCGAGAATACCCTTTAGCCACTAACCTTGCTTTAAGACGATCAATTCGACCATTGGGCCCAACTTTAATAGCATAGATCCAACGACAACCAAGCTGTTTTCTTTCCGAAGGCGGAGGAACAAGCTCCCATGTTTCTATCGTGATCAAGAGCCTGCATTTCGAAATCATGGCTTGTCGCCATCCGGGATGATCAAGCGCTTCGACCACATTTTTGGGAATTGTAATAGAGGAGACCGAGGAAATAAAAGAACAATAGGAAGGAGACAATCTATGATAACTAAGAAAATTGTAAATGGGATGAGGATTACGAGTAGAACGAGTACCTTTGCGAATGGCAATGGGCCAACTGGAGTCATCGTTATCAGGAGCCGTGGTATTAGAGGATGATGGTGAAGGACCTGTTATGGATGGCTGATCTTAGGGAATGGGATTGTTCACCTGGTTCCTGCGTTGATAGGTGATGATAGGCTGTGATGCTAATTCTAGAGTATTTTGGTTGGGATTTGGGGTGTCAGGAATAGGAGGTACAACTGATTCAACTAAGGGAACAGGAAACACATTTTGGACAGAATCAATATCCTGCATAGAATAAGGGAAGAAGGATGATGATTCAAAAAAGGTGACATTAGCAGACATGTAGTACCTCTTGGTTTCAGGAGAATAACACCGATATCCTTTTTGAAGACGAGAATACCCCAAGAAGACACATTTGATAGCTCTAGGTAAGAGTTTATCTAAGCTAGGAGACATGTCATGAACAAAACATATACATCCAAATACCCTAGGAGAAACATGAAAAATTGGTTCCTTTGGAAATAGAATAGAGTGTGGAACTTTATTATCAAGAGAAGAAGATGACATTCTATTAATGAGAAAGCATGCAGTTAGAATAGCATCTCCCCAATGATGAATAGGCATATTGGCACCCAGCAATAAGGTACGAGCAGTTTCAACCAAATGTCTATTTTTTCGTTCTGCTATACCATTTTGCTGTGGTGTGTGAGGACACGTGGACTGGTGTAAAATGCCTTGAGAATTTAGGACATTAGAAAAATCATTAGAAAAGTACTCTTTGGCATTATCACTTCGTAAAACTTTGATTACTTTTCCAAATTGAGTTTTGATTTCATTAAGGAAAGACTTAAAGATAGGCAATAGTTCAGAACGATCTTTCATAAGATAAACCCAAGTACATCTAGAAAACCCATCAATAAAAGTAACAAAATATCTAAAACCAAAAGATGAAACACGACTAGGTCCCCATATATCTGAATGAACAATACTAAAAGCAGAATCACATCTAGATTCAGAATGATTTGGAAAGGATGACCTGGTATGTTTCCCTAGTTGACGAGGATTCACATTCAAGAGTTTGAAGGTTCGAAGTTCAGGAACCATTTTTTTCAATTTTGCTAAATGAGGATGCCCTAATCGCTCATGTAACAGTTTTGGGGATAAGGACGCAACACAAGATACGAGATGACTTAGTCCTAAGGTAGTATAAGCCTCCAGATTCACGTCCTTCTCCAATCGGTCGACCGTACCACGTTCCTGGATAACAAAACAATTGGCATTAAAGGTTACTTGAGCAATTCAATGATTTGGTTAATTGGCTTACGAAACAAGACTGAATGGAAAAGAAGGAACACAAAGAACATTTTGAAGGTTTAAAGAAGAAGAGATGGATACTTGACCAATTCCTTTAGAGGCTACTTTAGATCCATTAGCTAAAGATATGAGATGGGATGTTTTAGGAAATGAAAGAGAGGAAAATAAAGAGGTATTACCGAGACATGTGGTCGAAGCACTCGAGTCAATAATCCATGGATTTTGACTTTCCACAGATTGCGAAATGCAAGCGGTTGACGAATTTGGTGTTGTAGATGCTTGAGCCAAATTGGTTGATTTCATCCTTAAATATTCTTGATACTCTTCATGAGAGAACTTGGGCTCATCAACTTGATTTTGAGGTATTAGTCGCCTTATCGGGAAAGCCGTGCAGAGCAAAACAATTTTCCTTAGTATGTCCCATTCTTTTGCAATGAGAGCACCGAGGACGTCCTTTCCCACCACGTCCTCTAGAGGCTGTGATTACCTCTTCCACGAGCGGAAATCATGGCGGAAGAATCGGCAAGTTCCTGACTTGTTTTTGCTTTTGATAGAAGGAACATGAAGTAGCCTTGTGATTAAACTCTCAGTAGAAGGAACTTCTTCTCCGAGTTAGAATTTGGTCTCTAACATGATTAAACTCTGGATTCATAGCCCTAAGAATCATTACCATATAGAATTTATCCAGCTTCGTCTTCCTTTCTTCTAATGATTACTGCCTCCAGAAACATTTTTAATTCTTCAACAGTGGCTGAGCTTCGAGCAACAAAGGACATCATGGAATTATCCTCTTGCTTAAGGGAGGCTAGTCTATTAGCAGAATCATAAAGTCGTTGAATATCGTTAGCAAAGATATTTTGAGCCTTTTTCCAAAAAGAATTACATGTCTTGAAGGCTCGAAGAGTGCTCAAAATATGTGGTTCAACAGATTGCCATAATAGTGCACAAAGTTGATAATCCAGTTTCTTCCATTGAGGAGCCTGATCTGCTGGTATAGTACTTCCATCTTCTTCTAGATGATCATGAACTCCTTGACCTAGAAACCAGAGCTCAACAGAGGAAGCCCAAGACAAATAATTTTTTCCATTTAATTTTTCTGTGGTTATAGTCGGAGTCCCAGAAAAAGATACAGACACAGGTCCTGACATTTTACAGGAAACACGAAAAGACCAACGTGCTGTCAGAGAGAGGACCGAGAGAGGCAGAGAGAAAAACGCAGATCCACCACGTTTTGTGACCGAGAACACAAAACAAAGTGCAGATCTGGCACCAGAGTGACGAGGCGAGCCGAATAGAGGTGGCCTGGAGCAAAACAGCCACCGAGAGGGCGGCGCGTGAGGCCCACGCGCGGAGGAAGCCACGGACAAGGGTGGCGCGTGGCGGCGCGTGAGGCAGAGATAGAGGAAGCGAACACTGGGGTTGGGTCGCGCTCCTCGAGGCGAGCCAAACCCAAGTGTCAGAGAGGAAAAAGGCGTCGGAGAAGACAGCACCGGTGGCGAACGGCGGCGGACGGCGGCGGATGGCGGTGAACGGCGATTAATGCCAGAAAAAAAACAGAGACAGGCAGAGCGGGATGAACCCGCTCTAATACCAACTTGAAATAGAAAAAAGAAAATAAAGAACTGATTTTGAGAGCCTACAATCATCTTCTTGTGTTCTCTTATTTATAGGAGATAAAAATACAGATTCAGAGATACAATTAATAGAGACATGATTAATCCTAGAGAAGATAAACAGATGCATTCTAGGAACTAGGTCTACAACTAATCTCATAAATGTCCAACAAGATACACTTAATCTAATAAATACTTGGGTACGCATGGAGTGCGTGGTTATCTATTAGACCCCCTTAACTTTCTTTTAGGCGGGGTGAGATGAAATGGGGGAGAGTTAGTTACGAAGAGAAAAGAAGTGCTGTTATATGGAAGCTAAAGATGGGGCCTTAGAGTGATCTCTGAGCTTGGGGAGTTTCTGTTTGTGTATTCGATTCTTTTTTTCATACATAGTATGGTGAAATAATACTAACATATAGAATTACACTATTAAAATATGTTTTTGAAATTATAGGCCCAAGTATGTTTATTTGTCTAATCCAATGCGAGAGTGAAGCATGGAACAGTAGGTTGTGTCATTCAGGACTTGGTTGTACTTGAAATATGTTGGTGATTAACTTGAAATAGTTGCAATGTGGTTATATTAGAGTCATGTTAAATCTAGTTTCTTACATAAATTCTACCTTTTGCCCTCTCCTCTAAATGCGTTTGGCTCCTTTAAAGTTAGCTGGTGCACTTTAGAGAATAAAGTGAACTCACAATTGTTGAATGAATGTATTTGAATCCTTTAAACATCATTGATTTTATCACAATTCTCTAAAATGTTCTCCTCTCACTTTAAAGGAGTCAAATCAACCACTAAAATGTCATTGAATATACCTTCTAAATCTATTGTTTAAAGAATGCTATCTTGGCATTCTTTATATTATTCTTCGTAGCCCCTAGTTTCAAATTCCAGTTTTTCAGCAAACCTCTACTTTTAAATTTGGAACATTCATTTGTGGTTTGCAGGGTCGTTGCCTGGCCCTGATCCAAGCAGCATCTGATGTTCAAGAACAAGGAGGAGTACATGACAGTGATCATTTCTTGCATGCTATTAGAGACCTGCTAAAAATATATTCAAGTGAGTATTTATTCATCAAACTATTATGGTTTTTCAAGTTAGAGTGTTCCTATTATCCTTCTAATAAGCTATCCTGTACCACTTTTTCCCAGATACACAAGCTTCACTGTCAACCTATGTATCAGCTCCTGGCATTGTCCAGCAGATATCAGCTCTTCATTCGGATTTGATGAGCCTTCAGTCGGACCTTGAGAATTCTCTTCCAGATGACAGAAATAGGTGTATTAATGAACTGTAAGTATTGTGATAAAAATCAATGTAATGTAATTTATGATATCTTCCTGTTCTATAATGACTTTTGATTCAATAGAAACCTTTGTATGCTGTAAAAGTATGAATTCTTATGCTTCAGTGACATTGTTTAAATAATGCTCTTTTGGATGTCAACAATATTTTCTTTCTATTGCAATCGTAGGGTTAGGATATGTACCAAGGAGTAAATCAGAGTTAGTTTTATGCCAATCCATAACTTTTTCGCTTAATGAGTTTCTGACAAAACCCTCTGTTGTATTGAAAGTTTGTGTTGAAAATGAGGAAAATAGATGTAAGAGATGCTGAAAAATGTGTGTATGGATTACACAGCGGAATCTATTTTATATAAGCTGATTACAATAAATACAAATAATTATTAGATTTTATTCTTATATACATGATATGATATGCTTATAAATGATATTCTAATAATTTTGATTCTGATAAGATGTCTTTATAATTATAAAGCTTGTAATTAAATAAGGAAAGAAATCATAAATATTAAAGAAAAATAAATCCTAAGAGATCATCTAAAGATACTCATATTAGTTTGCATCATGAACATGAAGCTCATAAAAGTTCTTGTTAATATATGTTTTCTACAACATTTAAATATCTTAAAACAAAGTACACTTTTTAAGGAAACAAAAATATCAAGCACTTCATTAGGTGCTTTGTTATTAATTTTTAACTTGTCTAAATTTTACATGGAAGTTCTACATAATAACAATTCAATGGGTGGATTAATCAAAATCATATTCTATAGTCATAGATTGACGTGAGTGTGTCCTGTTTTGCATTGGTGTCATTTGATTTAGAGTCTGTCTTGACAAACTTTTCCATGTGCACTTTTAGGAAAGAAAAATAAGAAAAAGAAAAAGCTTCTCCATAAGCTAAAATTAGTTTATGCTAAGTTAAAAAAAAAATTACACAAGTTTTTTAAGAGAACTTTTACAAATTAGCTTATGCATTGGTTAATTTTAGCTTATGAAGAAACTCATTTAACTTTTTCTTATTTTTATTCTCTTAGAGGTTCTCATGGAAAAGCTTGTCCAAACAGACTCTTAATCTGTAAAATCATTGGAGGCTAATATTAGTGTGAATTTAGCATATGTGGTGTGGAGACTTACCGAAACTTACAGATATGCTTATGCATCTATTTGTAGGCTAAACTGTAAATTATTGTTGTTTGTGACATTCTATTTGCATTGTTGTTAACATTTGGGACACATGTCCAAACAATTTTACATTCACACTCACAGTTGTATAAAGTTTCTGCAATTTTCTAGTGAGATAGCAATGGGTTTTCTTTTACATAATTTTTAAGTTTGGAGTGTCTTTTTGTTCCTGATTTAAAAAAGAAAATGAGGAGGAATTCATGTCAATTTTTGAATCTACAGGTGCAACCTTATTCAAAGTCTGCAGCAACTGCTCTTTGCATCTTCAACAACAGCACAACCAATACTGACCCCTCGGGTATGACTCCCAGATCTGTACTGTGGCTTTATGATTTTAATTTGTAACGTAATCATAGCAGTACTTTCGAATTTCTTTATAAACAATATATTAATTATATTTTTTATGTTCATTAACAACAACGCCTTTTCCTAGAAGGTGGAGTATTTGTCCATGTCCACTGAAAAGAGTAAAATAAAAGGTGGTGTTCCTCTGTCAGGGTTTTATAGGAATGGAATACTTTCTGATGATGTAGTTGTGAATAATGTGGACCTTGGTCAAGTAAAGTAACGGTATTTTGATTACATGTATAAATGAAGTTTTATCAAAATGGGCATGTCACTTTTTTACTTTTTGGTTTATATTTTGTTTTGACATTCTGTCTTGTTCCATCCAAAATCTTATTTAGCCATTAATGAAAGAGCTTGATGAAATGGAAAAGATTAACGCAAAGCTGTCTGCTGCTGTTGAAGAGGTGACACTCGAGCATGTCAAGAAGAATGAGGTACTTTAACCTGATCCTTTTATCATGTCATGTAGTTAGTAATTTCCCTAAGTCAATGATTTCATGGAAGAAATCCTGTTTCTTGGGTATCTTCTAGTTGGTTTGAATCTGGGGAATAGTTAGTTGAATTTATCTAGGTCAACTATATTGTATTAAGTAAATTGAATTGTTTTAACGAGTCTCAATACGCATGCGTCTGCTAATTTTTTTTCATATTAACATGATCCAATAATTAGATTGTTATTTTTTTCCCTATTGTCAAGTCTTCTCCTAATTTCTTACCCAAGTTATTCCATTCCCTGCTATTAGTTGAGGAGAGTTGATATTTTTGAAGTATTACTCAGTGCAGTGAAACACAAACAACAGCTTAAGTATGATAAAGGCTCTGTTTGTTTGTGCTTAAAAATATGATAGCTGAAAAGTAATTTATTTTAAAGTGTTTTTTATATAAATTTTTGTGTTCTCTAAAATTTTCTCTCTTTTATCTCATCTATTTTTTTATGAGAAGCAACTTCAAGTTGATTCTCAAAAAAGCATTAAACTGTTTTTTTTAATAAGTTTACCTAAACATGTTAAAAATCATAATAACTGATTATTTAATTAAAAAAAACACTTTTTTAAAAAAAAGTTAAACAAACAGACCCAAAATCATTAGCTTTAAAATGCTAGAATTCTTTAATCTCCACCCTCCCTCTACTCCCAAAAAAGAGCTAAGAATCTGTTTGATTCTGTTGACCAGAGTTTTCTACTCTTCTCACCTAACACGCTTCTCTCTTTAGTAACTCTTTTCCATGATAACTTTCATGAAAATCCGAAAACTTTTTTTATACTATTGAATCCGAAAACTTAAAACGTAAGGTTAATAGTTTTTCAATCTTGAAAATCAATCCTGAAAATTGAGCCTTGACCTTGGTCTTGTTCGCTGCAAAAGGAAAGAGAAAATAACTGATAATAGTTTTGACTTAAAGTCGATGGTCTTGACATATACTGAATTTTGTCTTGATACTAAAACTTTGCATCTTTCACTTTTTCATTTCCGCCACATCACCATTATATTGAACAACAACACTAATACCAAGTTTTGCATGAGTATAGAACGCAAGAATGTGAACATATTCCACATGAATTTCAAAGATTCTGAACCTATTGTGATTTCTGAAACTTTATTTGCACTGCTATCCAGATTGTGAAACATCATTCACAAGAAATTGGACTTCAAAGACGAGTCTTTGTTGATTTTTTCTGCAATCCAGAGCGATTAAGGAGCCAAGTTAGGGAACTGACTGCTCGGGTCAGAGCCTTGCAAATTTCATAGCAATCCGAAGTACTCTTCTTCCCTGTTCACTCTACGGTTGTGTTATTATTATTTTCTATATGCCTTTTTTATCCTAATTGGCAATGTGCTATTCTTTTGTTTATACAAGTGTTGTTCCTTTTGTCCAGAGTGTTTTAACTTTCTCTGCTGCAGAACCTATGGTCGAACCCTAGTAAAGAGCGTCGGCTGAGATTCAGACCAGACATTTGTAGAACAGAATTAGCAATCTTTTTCCTTTTTTCTTTTCGTTACTTGATTTGAAAATGATGCAATCAAATACTTCCTTTATTCTGGTAGTGTAGATATTTGTAAGTGTATGTTGTAACATCTCTCCTTATGAAGTGGGAATTCTTGTGCTTTACATGTGCAAATTAACAAGTGCATTACATATATATATATATATATATATATATATATATGTACATACAAGTCCTTATGATTAAGGAATTGGCATGTGCCGCTTGACCCGAGTACTTGATGAAGTATTTCTCAACCTAAATTTGTTGACCATGTCTAGTGCATGTTATTAGTGAAAAATTTATCAACTGTAGTTCCCATACTTGCCAACTGTTTCACTTGTAATTCAGAGAATCCTTGTTCCCCATTAGACCCTAGCTTAAATGGCACATTTCAGTACTCTTAAAATTATTCATTTTTATTTTCTTGAGTATCATTCACGGCATATTGTTCTTCCGCTATCAACAAGACAAAAATGGTGTGCATAACTTGGACATCCATATAAACTAGGCACTTCAGGTTCAGGCAATACAAATGAAAATGGTATTCAATTTTTGGAGCTCATGTTTTACATGTGCAAATCAAGCAGTAGATTAAATATTTATAGATGACAACTTTGGAATCCACTGCTAACATGAGTAATTGACAAATTAGTACGCAAGCTAAATTTGTTGATAGTCTCTCATGCATGAAAGTCTTGAAACTTTTATCAACTTCTAGTTACTGTAATAGCCAACTGCTTTACTTGTGATTTCCCCATTAGGCCTTAGCTTAGAGGGTACATCTGGGTTGGCCTCAAAATTAGTCATACATTCTTCATCTTGTTGAATATCCTTCACGGCATTTTGTTCTTCCTCTTTACTTTTACCCCAAAGTAGAATAGAAGTGCCAGTAATAACCAAGACTGATCCTGCAACACTGCTTATTGCATGTAGGGATGCATCAGGGGCAATGTAATGTAAAATGGTGAAAAAGAAGGAAAAGAAAACAGAATGATAGGAACCAAATCCAACCTTCCCAGATAAATTTCCTCCTGTAATATACAGAAATCAAGCATTGCCACAAACATCTGTAGAAGAGGGGTAAATGCTGAAGTGAAAACTGGACCCCTTTGTTTCACACACCATGACATTGCCACATAGCACAGGCCTGATCCAACGATCCCCTACCTCCACATACAGCTAAATTTAATGCAAAATTTTTGTATAGATAATAATGTGATGGCTTAATACAGTTTTAAGGATTAAAATAATGGTTTAAGATTGTATTTAAACTATGGTAACATGAAAAGAAACTTTCACAAACATTTCTAAATGAGGAGTTTTTTGATAAAGGATATACTTACAGAGTATACAACAGTCAGAATCTCCATCTTTCCTTTGAGAACCCATTTGGTCTTATTTCTATCGATGACCAAAGTTAATATTGCTGATTGAATGGCAGCAAAAAAGGACAAAATGGCTGTGCTAGAGTATTGACATGGATACTTTTTGCTAATCCTTGCTTGTATAAGAAACCATGAAGACCACAACACACATCCTGCAGTTAGAAACAGTGAACCTATTATCCATTTCTTTAACTTGAAAGCTGATGGTGTTCCTGTGCCTTTGTCTGCTATGTGCTCTGGTTGTTGGTTGAGTAAGGGCATTCCTTTGTAAAGGGTCAACGTCAAAGCTCCTCCAATACACACGAAAGTTCCCAACACCTTTGCCTTTGCACTCAGCTCTTTCATCTTCACCCTCTCTATCCTTTTCAAGTTTCAAGATAAAGGGTCATAATCTACTAAACTAAAATTATCACAAGACATTTTTTATGATTTTAATTTGGTTAAATGATGTGAACAAAAGAAGTAAATGAAGCTCTTCAACATGTTATAACAATTCTAAACTATGAACACGCAAAACATGTCTAACATAAATAAATTATAGTATTTGATAATTAAGTAGTTGTATCCATTAATTTGTATGACTTACCCCAGTGGCAGTGCCATAATAAAGGTAAATGCAGGCACCATATTTAGGAATGCACATGAGAACGTTGCAGAGGTATATTCTAGTCCAATAAGATACAGGCATTGAGTCAGTGTAACCCTGAAATACATCAACAAAATCTCAAATATGATTTTTTAAACACACTCCCATTTATTAAAATTTATGTGGGGTTCACTCATTTAAAATATAATCCATCAAATAAGGAATGAAACTCAAATATATTTAATAAGATTAACCTAATTAATTAAATAATGTATCCAAAAAAGAATATTATAAAATGTTCTCAACATTTCTTTCCAAAACCAGCAATATATGTATAGAGTGCCTACCCCACAAGAGCACTAACGAAAAGCAGACATATTACGTGACCCTCCACCTTCCTTTGCCTGTAAAATCAAATTAACAGAATCACCATGTAATATCTTTTCCATATTTTTTTTGGCACACATAAAAAAAGAAGATAAAACAATTTTTTTATAAATAAAAATAACTTGTACATCTTTTTTTTTTCAGTAGTTTTCTCATTCAATTTGTAATTTAGTAACCATTCATGAACTTATAAAGTTTTTTCAGTAAGTAGGGGTCAATATACTTGTTTTACTTGAAAAATCATAAATTAAAAATTAATCTAAATTGGACAAAAAGGATAGGTATCACATATAAAGAAAACTATTTAGAATTTTCTGGATCACTTTCTCCATTAGTATGTGTAGAAGAAGAAAATAAACCAAATAATTCTTATAAATAGAAACTAAGTTAAGTATAATTTAATTTGAAAAAAAAATATGTTAAACTTAATTTAATGTATGAAGAGTTATTTTTCATTTTTCAAAAGTATCTATGAAGATATTTATTGAAAAAAAATATAAAAATATTAAAGAAAAACACATGACTTAAGAATTGAGTGAAGAAAAAAGTTACCTCTCATAGAAGCAAGCAATAGGTGCCAAGAAAATGGCAGAAATAGCTTGTCGATATGTTAGGATGGTGAAGTAATCGAGTCCTTGGTTAAGAACCTTCTTCAAAAATATATTCACAAAAGCCAAAGCCAAATTCACAATACTCATCACCATAACTGGCTTCCACACTTCATGGAACTTCGACCACATCATTGTTTTTTTTTTTTTTTTACTCTCTTATTACAAACTTTATTGTTTCTTTAGGTTTGGAAAAAAATTGCAAGATATGTTCTTCAATATATAGAGGAATTAACCCCATGAAGAGAGGAATACATTAAAGGACATGATATATTCCATTCCAATCTTTGTGTTTCATTTTAATTTGTTTGGTGGGAATTTTCTTACGATAATAGTTATCGTCATGTTGGTTGACCTCATTTTCACAACTTTTGGTTAGTGGCAAAATACGTTTATTTGTAAATCTCAATTATCTCTAATATTAAAAAAAACAACAACTTTTAACTATAAATTGATTTATTTTTTCCACTTAGAGGTTCCATACTTCTGTTAAAGTGTGAACTCCTTGCATGTTGTACATCTTTTTTTTTCATTCCCGTTCAAGTTGTAGAATACTTTTACAAGGGAATAATAACGAAAAATTATTTATTATAAATTAATCGTAAAAAAATATCATATGTTCAATCCAAAATTTTAATATATGGATCTCTTTTACATAAATATTATTAAATCTTTCATTTTTAACTAGATCTTAACTCATACTTAAATTTTAATTTTATAAGATATAATTCATTTCATATTGAAAACATTAAGATAAAGATTTTTCTTATAAGGAATGATAAGAAAGATAATGAAGAAACTTCATTTTAATAATATATTTATATATCTTTAATTATATATAAAATGAATTATTTTTATTATTTTATTTAAATATTTTTTAAAATTACTTATTTTTAATATATATATTATTAAATTATTATTTTTCTACATATGTAAGTTTTAAAATTATTGTTGTATTTCTTTTGCCTCAATACATGAATTATAATTTCATTTGTCTAAACCAAACCTTTTTTTTTCTTCTCCCTTATATCAAATTTACAATACTATATTTGTGAAAGGTTTAATTATATTTTTCTTCTTCATGATTATAATTTTGTTCCTCAAATAAAAAATAATAATTTCTCAACAGTAAAAATATTTATGAATTAAAATAAGTTTCTTTTTTTTTAAATATATTTAGTCTTTTAATCCTATCCCGAAATATTTTTATTTGACTTTATATTTAAATTTGAATTTTTAAAATATTAATATTTTAAAAGTATTTTTTTCTTTATCCATCAATCTTTTTTTTTTTTTTGCTTTTCTTCTACCCACTTTTTAATTCTTTATAATTTTTAATCTTTTATATTAGTTAGTTCATTATATTATTTTCTTTCTTTTACCTTTCATTTTCTCACATTTCCTTAACCTCTCCAATTAATTTATTTATTTATTCAATCTTTTTAACCAATATGACGAACATAAAGTTAATTTTTCTTTTTTTTATCTTTTTCTAAATATTTTACATAAATCTTAGTAGTGATTAATATTATTTTATTTATATTTTATTATATATTTTTTATCTTATTGATCATATATCAAATTTTATCTTAATAAAATAAATATATTTTAAATAATTAAAAAAATTAATAATTTAAATTTTCATACTTTAAATTGATTAAATAAAAATTAATTTATTAAATATTTTATTATAAATTATATATTTCATATTTTTAAATGACAATTTTAAAAAAATTAACTTTTATATATATATATATATATATATATAAAGAACACAATATTATAAATATTTTATACATGTATAAAGAAAAAATATTAAATATTTCTTTTACATATATATTTAGTTATAAATATAATAAATTAAAAAATATATTTAATTAATAATAATTATAAATATTTATTTATATATAAAAAATATATAAAAATATAAAAATTAGTTTATTATAAATATAATTATTATTTTTAAAATAATGAAAATTGAGAATAGGGGAAAAAACTAAACCTCCCAACGAAAATGGGATACGAAGAGGGTTAAAAATGTGGGGAATAGAGACAAAATCCGGGCCCGGTGCCGTGTTGGCATGCGCACTGTGTATGGTATTGCTTTTAGAGTTACCTTCAATTTCACGTTAATACTTTTAGCCTCATGTTTCAAAGTATCATTGGTTCATGCTATTTTGTGCCACTTTTTATCACTGGAATAAAGTGCTTAGCATTTTTATTTATTTTTTATTATATTATTACTGTTATCACTTCACATCAGAATTATTAGCTTCTCTTCCTTCATTTTCTTCCACCCTTAAGATGGTTGTTTCCCAATAACTTCACATCAGAGTTATCCTATTAATTATAAAATTAATTTTAATATTCTGAAAAGAAAAAAGAAAAAAGAAAAATAGACCAAATTTACCTAAAAATTTCGTGACTTACAGTATATATAGGTATATACTTCCACCAATTAAAATTCTGAAAAGAAAAATCAAAGAAAAACACACATCTATTCCTTTCTCTCATCTTATGCATTCATTCATATGTGAAAAGAATAATACAACAAAAAAAATGTTGTTTTCTGTTGACGAAAAAGTTGTCGAAAACGAATCTTTTGCTGAAAAGTTCTTGAAATAATGTCATGAAAAATTTTATAGATTTTCTGTGTGAGGCATAGAATTTGTTGACTAAAAGGCCTAAGTTTATAGAAATATTGTTTGAATAAAAAGAATAAATATATGCCTTGTAATAAGAAGAATATTGCCAAAAAAAAAGTACAAAGAAAACTTTGATTTCATGGCATTATGAGGAGTGTGAAATATTATTATTATTATTATTATTTGTAGACTAGTGAGGGGTCTGAATAGTAATTTGGAAAGTTATATATTTAAATTGAATATATGATTTTACAAATTCTATTATGTGAAGGTTATAAGTTTATTTTCAGTGCAAGCCCTCCACCTAAACAATTGCATTTGTATGCAAACCCACCACCTAAATAACCCCAATTCAAACAACCTACCATTCTACCATCTTTACACAACATTAAAACATTCAAATCTCTCATTTTCTTTCTAAAAAAATGATATCACATTTTTCCCAAATGGAGATTTTATTTAATTAAACTTTTGTTTGAAGGAAAAGGACAAGTTAACCTTGTCTTAAAAGAAGATGGTGAAAGCATTAATTGACATGGATTCTGCTGCAAATGATATTGAGAATCGATTAGGTAACAAATTGCAGTTGTTTGTTCTCTGAGATGTGTAAAAAATACTAAATTTCATTATTAACTCATTTGTTTCATGCAGTGTAGACAACAAAGTAACACAGACATAATCACCAATGCTCCATATGTGGTACTGTTGGTATACCAATTTTTGTTTGTACATGTGGCTGATTCTATCAGTTTGGCAGCACATCATGCAATCAATAAATGTTCATCACTCACCAAACAAAATCCCTTTCCCTTTGGAGTCACGTTGCCTTAATCTTAACACCCATTTCTTCTTCACTTAAAACTTCAACAACACCCTCACAAAATTTGCTTACATTCAACACTTGGTATGCTTCAGATAGGAACTGCATTCCTCTCTGAAAGGCAATTGCGAAAACAATGTATATAGATGAGGCCACAAGGTTTTTTAATGCTACCAAATCTATTGTCTATTGCAAAATGGAATTTTGATTAGTTGGTCTTTCTTCGTCCAGTTCAACTTCAAGTTGAATACCCCAACCAACAACCAAATAATCCACAAGGTTCTTATTTATAAGATCAGAATTTAATTTACCAACAGAACCCTATAATGAATATGTTGCTCTGGCTCCCAGCATACCCAACATTCCAACCTGGATGGGACCAAGAAGAAGTCCATGCTACATTCTTCAAGTGCATCAGTTGGCAAGTGGAGGAAACCTTGGATGCTGTCAACTGCCCTTACCATTATTTCTGTGACAAAACATACCCTTCAAACTACCCTCTTCTTGTTGATATCTTGGTGCTTCTCTTCACGGCAGCTTCTTACTTGGTGACTCTTGTCATAGTGATAATGGACTTGTGTTCTGGAAGAGGGAGAATCTTTCTGAGTGGATCAAAAAGATTCCTTTTGCCCTCTGGCCCTGTATCCCTCCCTCTTATAATCTTGATCTTTGCAAAGGGTCCTCAAATCAACACAATATTCCCACTCTCTTGCCTTGGTCCTGCAATTCTTCTGATGGCTCTCATTTCTGCATTGTCCTTTGACAACGGAGATGATAAGGACTTCAAGTACACTTTTTTTGTGGCATCAACAGTTTCTGGCATTTTGCATGCAAGCTTGTATCTGGATTCTGTTGTGTTGCCTTATTACACAGGTTTTGACGCACTCATGTCCTCAACATTTTCAGGTGAGTGTGAATCTTGTGTGTGCAGGAAAGAGGCCCTGGTTGTGGGAGGGAAACTGGTGAGGTATAGGGGCTGGTCACTGACCACATTTTTTGTTGTGGGGGTGTTGTGTTTGAGGATTATATGTAAAATCTCAGGAGAAACTTATGCAGGGAAGTTTTTGTTTATCAAAGCCTTGATGGAAAGGTTTAGCTGGATCTTGATAACTGTGGATTGTGTCTACCTCACACTAAACTCACCACCAGAAAGAGTAGTGTTGAGAGGTTCTGCTTATGGAGGCATATTTCTTTTGATTTTTCTTCAAGTCCTCAAAGAGGCATGCAATCAATTTACTCAAAGGCTAATGTAGCAGAAAAATTTAGATCGGTGTCATCATCATTGGAAACAATATGAAGAAAGAGCAACTGTGAAAAGCAAAATGGATAATAGTTTAGTTTTGTTGTAAAGTACATGCTATTGCAATCCTATGCTGATCGAGTCTTCTCTTTTTCTTCGTTCACTTCTTTTCTTCTGTCTATTTCACACGCTCAAGTTGGATCTTAAAATTCAATCATTACTTTTCTTAATTTTGAAGTTTACTTTATAGTATGATTGAAAGGGTAAAAAGTTAAACTAAACCTCACTGGCACAAAGCCAATAAAAGTCGGTGCATTGATAAGAGTGTTGTTGATAACCCACCAAAGAAAAGCAAGTTCAATTTCTATTTCGGACGTGAGAATCTTCTTGATGGATGATTTGTAAATAACACTTCAAATCTCTCTTAGCATTAAGACATGTCTTTTAAACATGATCGTTTTCTTTGTTTTGTTCACATTGTAGTTTTCAAATTAATTATGTTCTAGGGTAGAGTAGGATGCAGAGGTTAGAAGATTTTTGAGGGAATTAAAGTTGTACTTCATCACATTCATTGCTTCTTTTATCTCTGTTATATACGCTAGGTAAAATAAATTAATTTTGATTGTGTACTTAATATATTTTTAATTGTATTTAATGTTTTTTTTGTATTAAACTTAAGAGTAGAATAAATCATTAAATAAATATTATTTAGTTAGTTTATTTTTTATATAACATTAACAGTTGAAAAAAACAGAGAAAAAAATGTGGGAACCGATAGAAAAGGTTGTGAAGACCAGAAAAGTAAGATATTATCTCTTCTTCTGTCTTCATAATTTTTTTACTCCTCTTCGTTACAATATAATGACGAAATTAATATTTTAAAATTCTTGACATATTTTTAAATTGTATAAATTCTTTTCTGAATTACACGTTACAAAATAGAAATTTAAAAAATATATATTTCATAATTTTTTTATAATTAATAATTTGAAAATATCTTTTTATTATTTTAATTAAATATATTTTTGTTAATTCAAGTTTACTCTCAGATTTTAAAAACCAATTAATTAGTTTTCAAAATATTAAAAAATATATATAGTTATTTTTTCTAGCCTTTATATGACATTAAATATTTTATCAATTTTATAACGATAAAAAATATCATTAAATATATAAAGTATTGAAATTATATAATTATAAAAGTTGAAGAACTGAAAATATTAATTGAAAAGTATAAGAAACTCAAACTATAATTTTCTATAAAACCTTTATTACAAAATGGACTTCTCATAATAATTTAAAATTTATGTTGTAATGATGTTTCGAAATAATTCCAGAAAGGGTAAAAATTAAACCTTTTGAGGATGAAGAAAACTAAAGCGATGAAGGTGAATGAGTCGCATTTCTTCTTCACAGTGCACCAGGTCCCACAAAAAGCACGCATTGAATGGATTTGAAGTTGGCAATTGAATTTCATAATCCTAATTTCTCAATATTTTTTCTTCTGGAATCCTATTTTCTTGAATTTTTTTTTTCCTAAGATGTGTATTCAATTCTTTTAATATATTTTGAATAACATTTTTTAAAAAGTGTCAGATTTTAAAACATCACTTTTATCATTCCACCAAAATAGAAAGTTGGAGTTAATGAAGTTCTTTGAATCAATGAAAATAGTTATAAATTAAAATGATTAATTATGGTGACTCCGTTTTCTGCTAACTTAAATTTCATTCATATCAAAATAGAACTTGTAGAATTTTCTTAGAATCAATTTGGTTCATATTATGGCTGCATAACATAAACTGTTCTAAAGAGTACACACATTTGGGGTGTCTTCCTATATATTCTAGTTTCAGAAATAATGGTATATTCAACACAACACTAAGAATACTTATCTAATACTCGAGTCTTTCTATTTGATTGTACCCATAAACACACACCCTTTGTTGTCCAACACAACGCTGAAATTAAATTTGATGTACATAATTAATTGAAAAAAGGAAAAAGGTAGCAAGTTATTACTGTGAACTCCAAACCATGATAATCCTCATGAAAGAGGCTTGAAATGTGTCATATGCTTACAAGGATAACATGAACTAAGCCACTTGATTCACTGAAGAAATGACTCCATCTATTTCTGCAAGTCATCACACAAGCCACACATATCATATGCTGTGCACAACAGAATACATATATGCATGCATGTTGCTGAAGAGAGATGACAAGAAATATACCAGATATTATGGTTATGGTGGTGGGAGGGTGAGTGAGTGTTGATGTTGGGTTGAGCGAGCTGAAGATAAGGGTGAAAGTGAGGAAGCACAGGGGAAGCAAGTTGAAGGATGCTACCAGCAGAAGGTTGCTCTTCAAAGAATGGAAACTCATCCATCACATGCACTCCTTTGCTTCCTTCCACTGTTGCCTCCAACACTGCTCTCTGTTCCTGACATCTTCCCAACTTTTTGTTAACAATCACACACATATAATCATCTTATATGTTACTTTTGTACGTATATATTCTTACCCAATTAGACAAATTATTGTTTTCTTCTTCCAAGATCCTTTCCTGAATTATGATTCAGAAGATTGAGTTAATTAATCTGGATACTGTTGTTTTATATATGTCTGCAGAAAATGTGTGAGAGAGTTATATTATACCTTCCTTCGCAGATTCTCCATTTGTTGTTGCAGGAGCTCATTCTGCATGGAGAGTCATGTCAAACAATTGGTGATGAAGATGGAATCATGAAAAGTGTATATATATAATATATATACCTGACGATTTCGAACCTTTGCCACAGAATTTTCCAATTCTTGTTCAAGTTTAGTCAAATCCTCATACTGTAAACACCCCATGTCCTCTCCAAGATACCTTTGAATTCCCAATTCAAGACGGAGAGTTTCTTGCCTCAGCATTGCCATGTCATGGATAAATTCTTCCTATGATATCAAGTATTTAAGCAATTCACCAAGGAACATCAATTCATTATGATCATATTTGAAAAATATAGAAACCATAATTTTTTATTGGTTATTATATATAGAGTAAATCACGTTTTTTTTTTCCTTGATTTTATCACAGTATTAACTAAAATTTAGCAGTGATGAGGCTCATACACGGGGATGGTCACGTTCAGCAATGCGAACTCCAGTTGATCTCTGATACTTCTCTATGATCTGCTCCATCCTGATCACAATCTTTTCACGTTAATTATTTAATACATTAATAACATGAATCTATTTTCTATACATGCAAATATCTTATCAACTTCAGATAAACTAAAATTGTGACCATAGTTTAACGGATCTTAAGTTTAATTATAATTAGTCAACGTACAAAAGCCTGAAAATGTAAAAAAATCAAACAGTTTTAGTTACAGTTTTGATTAATTTCACAAGTATTTTGCCAGAAAATGCATGGTTCAGACATGAAAGGTTAGAGGGTTGAAGAGAGAGAGTTTAAAGTAGAAGATCACAAATATATTGTGGTTGAAAACGAAATCTATAACCCACCACATGCCACACTGAGAAAACAAATCATGGCTTGAAGTGATCAGATCTATAATCACCATGTCAGACATGAAACTGCCCTCCAAGTCAAAGGCACTCGAGTGGGTCAACCTTACGTTTGAGAATGAAATTAAGATGATATCGACCTAAAACCTCCCCCCTCTCATCATTCACGCACATACACACTTAACACACCACAGAATTAGTATACATTTGAGGAGAGAAATCAATCAACAAGATGCTAAAACTAACTCACAAATTGAAGCCATTTTGAAGAATTAATACATGAAAACTGTATAGATATATATACCTTTATTTTACTTCAGAAATTGAATCCAAGTTTAGAAGCAAAAAGAAACATTTAATGCACCAGAGAATTATAGTATATATTTTAGGAGAGAAAACATTCAACAATAGGCTCAAAACGAACACAGAAATGGAAGCTATTTTGGAAGAATTAAGACATGAAAACTGTATATATATACAAATTATTACAAACCCTTATTTTACTTGAGGAGCAGAATAAAAGGTTTAGAAGCAAGAAGAAACACTTCAAGAAATGGAAGCCATTTTGGAAGAATTAATACCCGAAAGCTGTATATATAAACAAATTACAAACCCTTATTTTACTTCAGTAATAGAACGAAAAGTTTATAAGCAAGAAGAAGCACTTAAAAAATAAACCAGCGAAATGCTAAAAACTAACAGAAATGGAAGCCATTCTGGAAGAATTAATCCATGAAAAGGGTATACATAAACAAATTACAAACTCTTATGAGAAGTTGAAACAAGGTTTAGAAGGCAAGGGATCTGAGAAAAAAAGAAATGAAGGTGTAGGCATATGCACCTGAAGGGTTCAGTGCACCATTGCCACATCTTCCCAGTGCTGGAGAAGATGATGATCCCGATCTGTGCATCACAGAGCACAGAAAGTTCCTTTGTCTTCTTCATGAGACCACCTCTTCTTTTGGAGAAGGTAACTTGCCTTGTGGTGGTGTTCTCGATCCTCTTTATCTCAATCTTCCCACGTCCCATCTCACAAACCCTACCTTAATTTCTCCTTCCAATCCCTACACACAACATTACCACATAAAGAAACAAATTAAAGCAAATTTATATATATGTATATAAACTAACCCTTTGAGTTCTTTTACCTTCCAATTTCAAAAAAACAAGCAACGATTTTTCAAAAAAATACTGTGACTTCTATGGCTATATTACTTACTAATAACAACAAGTAAGTTATTAGACTGCATATAATTTTTGAGTGGCTAGAAAAGAAAGATGTGTATGATTGAAAAACGCAGAAAGTTCTTTATTAGGGCTAGTTGTAAAGTTAAAGATAGAGAACATTAAAGAAAGTGATCATAAGAAGATATGAGAGAGAGATGGAGGAGGAGGAGGAGGAGGAGGATGAGTAGAAGAAGTGTTGAAATCAACAACTTGATACCTTGGAAAACTTTCTTTACTTGTGGAATTAGAGCTTGAGAAATATCACACTAGCTTGCTATTAATATATGCCATGAAGTATGAAGGCAATTTCTTAGAACCAACCAGGGATGTCCAAAACTACCACACTGCATTTTTGTTAATGGCAAGAAAATGTAGAGAGGGGGAAAGGATAGTATTGTCATTTTGTGTTGGTGATATCATGAACATGCATAGATGCAACATCTACACTAACAAATGTTAATTAATCATCTTTGCTAAGAACATAAGTTTGAATTTTTGTTGGTGGATGATCACCCTACATGAAACTTGAGGTCATAGGGTCTAACCTAACTCATAATTTTTTTTTTTTCATAAAAAACAAAAATTTGCATGCAAGAGGTCCAAGCCAAAGATGAATGGTGTTTTCTTTTGAATGGCATTTTGGGAATATTCTGCAAAAATTAGGGTTTCTGGTGTCATTTCATGAGTGTGGACAGAAGGAGTTGTTGCAAACTAAACCACTATTATTCCTGGGTCTAAAGTGAAATCTGAAGCTTGCCATAACAGGAAAAAAGTGAGAATATTAAGGTTACTATAAATGGGTGAAGACTAATTTAGAAAAGACAAAGAATCACAATTTCTGTGGACAACCTTCATTGGCACATGCGCTAGTATTAAGACACCAACTACCTTTGAAAATGAAAATAATTTTAAGAATCTGTATATATTTACGTCTTGTACATATTTAACTCTGCTCTGCATCACTCTTCCCATGGTTAATATTTGTCGTGCCTTGTTTATCACATTATTATTACCTCTCTGCATCTGAAACTTGTTTAGATGTTAGAGAAGCATTATTACGGCACTGTATATTTATCCAATAATTTGCTTTTGTTTTTCCTTCACTTTAACTGCACATATAAAACAATTATTAATTCATGATTCGTCATGAATATATTGTGATGAAAAGTTTATATATTATTAAATACCATATATAATATTTTCTCCTTTTGTTAATGTTAAGATATTTTATTTTTATATCCAGTTTAATTAATAATATAATTGTTTAAACCCTGTAGATAAATTTTCTTTGCTTATGTATATGGTTTTAGATGAAGGAAGGTTGTTGAATAAAATTTAATGAATGAAGATATCCATGTCATCATTATTATTTGTACAAAACAACCTTATATTGTCTTTTGAACTCTGTAGACAATAATAAAGAAAATTTTCAATATTTTAAATTGAAAATTCATATATATCAACAAGTTTTGCATTCAATAAGTAATTTTTGTTTGGAATATTGAGATACTAAAATGTAATAAATAAAATAGTGATGTAGACATATAACGTAATCTGAGATTGTTAGTTTGATTGAAGAAGAGAAGAACCCAACATACATCAGCACTGAAATAATGACTCAGAATGCACCTTCTCTCTGTCTTTCATCTCATTACTTATCCGATGGTGTTATTTATTTTTAAGATACGTTTGTGTGATGGGTCTTTTCTGCAGGTTAACAGCAAGACATTCTCATAAATAATTAGTACACGAATTAAGAGTAAATACACGAATCAATAAAAAATGCTATCTTAAAAAAACAACCTTAATGAAATACTTCAAACACACTTAAAGCATCATTACAATTAAACTTTCATCGACATCATCCTTTATAATTCATTTTGCTTTGAGACAAACCTTCCATCATCAACTACAAAAAAAAAAGTAGTGAATTTTTAAATTGATGAATAATTAGTCACGATTTTACAATCCCACTTTTCAAATCAGAACATGTGAAACAACACAGTAAATACAGTGACCAATGTTGAATAAACATGGTTGAAGACATCATAGAAGAAAACGACAGATAGAGGAACCACTGTTTATTCATGAAAAATTGTTCGGGATCACAATCTAAACGACGATGAATCCCAGCACTTATGATTCAATGCAACCTTTTTTTTTTTTTTTTTAACTTTAATTTTGATATGATAAAGATATGGTAAAAGACGATATGACCAACTATCAAATCTAGTTTTTAAATGTTGAAACAATATATTTAAAAAATTCAAGAGATAAAAATACATACATTTTTTTTTAAATTTGAGAATCATAATAAGATTTATTTCAAATTTAAATTACTGAGAGGATAATTAAATCTAATTTATATATATACATATACTTCGTAAATAACTTTTTTTTAGATAAACTGTGAACATATAATACGTATTAGTTAGAATAAAGAGACAGAGCCTCCTCTCTCTCCTTGAAATTGCGTTTTAGGGTTTATCAGACATTGGCGGCACGTTTGGATTGACGTCCCTGTACCGCAAACGCGCGTTAAAACGAAGCCGCTCTTTCGCTTCTACCTCATTTTCCTCGTTGGGACGCCGCTTTCACCACTTTTTTTCACGTGCGTCTTCAGATTCGAAAATGGAGGACGGAAGTTCCGATGGCGATTGCGACCGCGATCGAATCCGCAACATATGCATCCTCGCGCACGTTGACCACGGCAAGACCACCCTTGCCGACCACCTCATTGCCGCCGCGGGAGGCGGCGTCGTCCACCCGAAGCTCGCCGGGCGCGTCCGCTTCATGGACTACCTCGACGAGGAGCAGCGGCGCGCCATTACCATGAAGAGCTCCTCTATCCTCCTCCGCTACCGCGACCATGCGGTGAACCTCATCGACTCCCCTGGCCACATCGACTTCTGCAGCGAGGTCTCCACTGCGGCGCGCCTCAGCGACGGTGCGCTCCTCCTGGTCGACGCCGTGGAGGGCGTCCACATCCAGACGCACGCCGTCCTCCGCCAGTGCTGGATCGAGCGCCTCACCCCCTGCCTCGTCCTCAACAAGCTCGATCGCTTGATCACCGAACTCAAACTCACTCCCTCCGAAGCCTACACGCGCCTCTTGCGAATAGTGCACGAGGTCAACGGAATAGTCAGCGCTTACAAGTCCGAAAAATACCTCTCCGACGTCGATTCTCTCCTCGCCGGTACCGGCACCACAGGCAGTACCGGTGAGACTCTCGAGGATTACGATGATAACGAGGACGTTTTTCAGCCGCAGAAAGGGAATGTTATATTCGCTTGCGCATTAGACGGTTGGGGGTTTGGGATTCGTGAGTTTGCGGAGATATATGCGTCTAAGCTTGGGGCGAGTGTGAATGCGTTGTTGAGAGCGTTGTGGGGACCTAGGTATTTTAACCCTAAGACGAAGATGATTGTGGGGAAGAAAGGGGCTGGTCCTAATAAGAAACCTATGTTTGTTCAGTTTGTGCTGGAGCCGTTGTGGCAGGTTTATCAGGGGGCGTTGGAGGGGGATAAGGGGCTGGTGGAGAAGGTTATTAGGTCGTTTAATTTGTCGGTGCCGCCGCGCGAGCTGCAGAACAAGGATGTAAAGGTCGTGCTGCAGGCGGTTATGAGTCGGTGGCTTCCGCTGTCGGACGCCGTATTGTCGATGGTGATTAGGTGCTTGCCAGACCCAGTTGCGGCGCAGGCTTTTCGGATATCGAGGTTGATTCCGAAAAGGGAGGTTGTTGGGGATGTGGTGGAGGAGGGGGTGGTGGAGGAGGCGGAGAAAACGAGGAAGGCAGTGGAGGGGTGTGATATTGGGGATGAGGTTCCATGTGTGGCTTTTGTGTCGAAAATGTTTGCTGTGCCGGTTAAGATGCTTCCTGGACAGAGAGGGCAGGTTGCCAACGGTTATGGTGATGAAGGGGAGGGTGATTCGGATGAGTGTTTTCTGGCGTTTGCTAGGATTTTTAGCGGGGTTTTGTATGCGGGGCAGAGAGTTTTTGTGCTTTCTGCGTTGTATGATCCGTTGAAAGGAGAATCGATGCAGAAGCACATACAGGAGGCTGAGATGAAATCGTTGTATTTGATGATGGGGCAAGGGTTGAAAGTAGTGACATCTGCGAAGGCAGGGAATTTAGTTGCCATTGGAGGTCTCGGACAGCATATATTGAAGAGTGCTACTCTTTCTTCCACAAGGAATTGCTGGCCTTTTTCGAGTATGGCATTCCAAGTTGCCCCGACTTTGAGAGTTGCTATTGAGCCGTCCGACCCTGCTGATGTGGGTGCGTTGCTCAAGGGCTTGAGGCTTCTGAATCGAGCAGATCCGTTTGTTGAGGTCACCGTGTCTTCTAGGGGTGAGCATGTTCTTGCTGCTGCTGGAGAAGTTCATCTTGAGAGGTGCGTAAAGGATTTAAAGGAGAGGTTTGCGAAGGTAAGCTTGGAGGTCTCTCCGCCTCTTGTGTCCTACAAAGAAACCATTGAGGGAGAGGTATTGAACGTGATGGAAAATTTGAAAGTTCTTAGCAGGAGATCAGATTATGTTGAAAAAACAACCCCAAATGGAAGATGTGTTGTTCGGGTACAGGTGATGAAACTTCTACCTTCTCTAACAAAGGTACTCGATGAAAGCTCTGATTTACTTGTAGATATCATTGGAGTAAAGTCGGGGCAGACACTAAAAAGTTTGGAAACCCAGAGACCAAGTATACTTGAAAATGAAAATCCAGTTGAAGTGCTAAAAAAGCGGATATTGGATGCAGTGGAGGGTGACATTTTGAGCAGGAATGAAGATGACAAAGACCATGC